CAAAAGCAAGAAAGATTTGAATATTCAAGATCAAGAAAATATAAAGAAGTATCCGAAATAATAGAAATATCAATATAATTAATAAATATATTTTTCAGGAAAATTATGTATTGAAGAACACCAAAGATAAAAATCTAATAAAATGTATAGTATCAATATAAGTAAAGTTTTTGAATAAATGTTTGAAGACATTATTGAAAACTTTCGACAGAGTTTAACAATTGACTCGCAATTCATAATTAAGAAATCTTCAAAACAAAAAGATATTTTTTGAGATAATCTTTTATCTCCATAAAAGTATTTTTGAGAAGATATAGATTTTATAAAGCCAAGTAAATAACTTGTTAATAAAAGAATTGTGAGAGCAATCGTGAGATAATTTTTGAAATAATAATTTTTCATTGTAGTATTTTCAAAATATTGGATTAGAGTAGATTGATTTCATTTATGCAATTAAATACAAAAATGAATTACACAAAGAAACAAAAAAAGTGATGCAAAGATAACAGAAAGAATTAAATCACCACTAAAAAAGGAAGAATTAAATCAGTCGATGAAAAGAACAATATAGTCATAGGGACAAACAATAATGTATACAGAAATCTTTTGACAACATTATCATTGGTTTCAGATAAAATCAACTGGGCATGAATACAGCGATGTTTGCTAGCAAGTTCTTTCTTGCGACAATCAGATCTTTCATCATCAAGAATATTCATTCTTCTGCGGAACCGGTTAATACCATTGCGAAGAATGGCATATTCTTCTCTCAATTGAGAATCAGTAAGAGCAGTAACAGGACGAAGTTTTAATTTGAAAAGAATTTTGGTCTCATTACTTAAAAGATCCTCAGGAAGATTTTCTTGACCATTTTGATTAGTAGAAGAATTTCTGCGACCATCTCGGCTGATGGGGAAACTGTTACAACCGTTTTGATCATTTGGAGCATTAGGAAGATTTGCGTGACTATCTTGATCATTTTGAACATTAGGGTGATTCTCTTGAACATTTATAACATTTGGAGAATTACCCTGACTATCTTGAAAAGGGTAAATAATAATAATAAGAGAACGATAAACATTGGTACTACAGATACTTGGATTGAGAACACAAACATGATGAACAGAAGCAATATAGTGAGCAAGAGGAGAAGAATTACGAGAATTGTCACGTGAACTGGTACGAATATCTTGATTGGAGAAAATATCCTTAACAACAGTCAGATCATTGAACTCTGACAAATTGGATATACTATAAAGGTATATATGATAAAAATTAATAAGAAAAGATATTCTTTTTTGAAAATTTTGAAAATGTATGCTAATGATCAGCCTACATGACTAGAAAAGTGAAAAGAAATCCAACAGCAATAAGAAATGACAAAACAAAGTATTTATAGCATGAGAAAAGTAATAACAAAGATATAACACTTCACAATAATACAATTGATATCTGAGAAACTCTCAAATTAATATATAATAGCAATACTGAGATATAATAATCGAATATTA